CTTTGTCATTGTGTCAAAGTATTTTATTGAGATTTCTTTGAAAACTTGATAGTTGGTCTCATGATATCATAAATGACATGTTGCAAACAGTTTGAGGTCAATATCTGTACTTTCTTCTAGGAACTAGACTTTGAAGTGGAACTTGCTTTTGTTATTGGGAAAACTGGAAAAAAGATCAAGGTATGCAATGCCAAGTGCTATGTAGTTGTAAACGTTTGTACGCCTTGCAGACCTATGATACATGGTTGATGTGAAATAATGTTATTTTTATTTACCCACAGTATGAATCCATTTTGATATGCCAGTATAAAAACAAAGACAACTTAAAAACATGGTCATAAACCAAATAAATGACACTTTTTTAAAATTTTAATGAACAGCTGCTTCAGTAAGTGACCATCCCAATAAGTACCCATGATTTAAATGCAATTTTCTGCACTACCACTTCTTCATATATGTACCTCTGCTAATTATTATTGGTACCTCTTTTCAATTCAATCTATAGTATAAAACAACTAAAAGTGTTGCCACTCCTCCTGGATGGGGTGCTAGCTTAATTATTATCTCAGCTTACTCCTGGCATTTTGTTAAGGAGTCCTTAACTCACTAACCCTGCTTTGAACAATGCTGTTTTACCCTCGCGTTGACAAGCGTACAGTTAAGAAATTTTAACTTTGGGTTAGCTCTCACGCAAGGTTAATTTAACCCTCTTTTGAACAACCAAGCCCTGAAATAAAGAGAGCCACTGTTAAGGGAGGGCTTGAACCTGAATGCAAAGGCCACACATACACACACACAGGTTAACCCTTGAGTCACCATTCATCCTTCCTGTCATATGTACAGATCTGGCTCCCAGAAATATCCCTAAGCCATTAATATGTAATTGATAGACTGTGAGCAGTCTCTTTTTTGCTCGAAAATCCGTGGGGAAGAACACAAAGAAGAATGCAACACAAGAGATACACTCTCGTCAAGCTTGCACATTCACTTGTTTTGCATCCTTCCCCACGAATTTTCGAGCAAAAGAGAGACTGTTCACAGTCTTTATAATCGTGGGCTGCCTACTGGTTCTAAAATCTTTGTTGTATTTATAGGAGAGTGAAGCCATGGACTATGTCGCAGGCTACACCGTGGTACATGATGTTAGTGCTCGGGACTGGCAGCTAAAGAAGAATAGCGGACAGTGGTTAATTGGAAAGACATTTGACTCGTTTTGTCCAATTGGTCCAGCTATTGTTACTAAGGATTCTTTATCAGGTAACCATCCAGGATACTAACTGCCTTAATTGTTCCAATTTGTGACTCCATTGACATTTCTTTACCAAGGATCTAATGTTTTGTTTTCTGTAACTCTTTTTTAGATCCTCATAAGCTGGGAATCCGATGTCGCGTTAATGGAAACATTATGCAAGATTCAAATACGGAGAATTTGGTATTCAAGACTGAGAAACTAATTTCATTTATATCCAGGTAAGAGCTGTTGCATTGTAAAAAAGTACAGTGCAACTGCTCCCAATGGACATAGTGACCTTTAAAATACGGATAAAAGACACCTTTAAAATACGGACATTTCGCATGGTCCCAGAGACATCAGAGGTTGGAGAATCACTACCTCTATCAAAAGGACACCTGCCCCTTTGGAGTCCATGTTAAAGGAGCTACGTCACCGTTTGCGCATCGTGAAAAGTTTAGTCAAAATTCTTCAAGTTCCTCGCTTGCAATCCGTATTAATCTTCTCCATCCTTAACCATCCTTGTTCCTCTATGGTTTATGAATATCTCTCTGGTGATTTTCTATCTTAGTAAGCTATTATTTTCAGGTTTCCTTCAATATAAATTAAGGCAATTCTCTACATGGCCAAAATAACTCAAAATACCATGACTGAGCTCCTTTAATGAGGTGTGACTGTACAAATATGTTATCTGGGTCAGTTACTGGACGTTGAATTTAGTACAATACGTCTAGTAGTACATTTAAGTTCTTTATTGCCAGTGCAATGCTATAACATGTTTCCTAACGGGAAAAAGTTGTAAAAGCAAAAAGTTCTTGAAGGCTGTTATAACACGTACAAGTTGCGTATGTTTTGTCACATGAACGAACTTTTAAAGTCATCACAAGTTTCTGTGGGATATTTTGCTCTAAGACATCATCACAATAGCAACAACAGGGGTGACCAGTGACGACAGGGAAATTTGAGCCTTGAAGACAGCGAGAGTAATATCCTTTCTGCAAGACTAAGACTTTCTGGGCTTTTTAAAGTAATCATTACTTACGGAAGACTGTACAAAAACAATATCAAGATGACGAGACCCATGAAATCTGACTAAAATTTTGCGAAGTGCGAACGTTATGGAGGATCATTCGCCCGACAACGATAACCAAGTCACAAACATTCAGGTTTAGCTGTATAACACGTCAAATGTTTAATAAAGGTTTCACGCGGATTCTGGTTTTGAGTTTATGCCAGTTTTAGCAAAAACAATTCAATGTTACACCCCCAAATCATATTCCTTGTTTTATACCACATACTATGTTGTCCTCTCTGAAGTATTTTGTTTTGGCCAAAAAAGGACTTCTGAAGTGTCCACTGCTGTTGTTCGTTATACAGCTCTATTCTTTAGTGTTTTGAAGGTCTCCTTGCTAGATGTGTGTTTTTTTTTCTCATCAGTCTTTACTTCATTTGTTGTATCAATTCATATTCCAGGTTTGTTACGCTAACTCCCGGTGATGTATTCATAACAGGAACCCCACCTGGTGTTGGTTGTTTTAGGAAGCCTCCTGTTTACCTCAAGGTGAGTTTGTGTACGTATACCAGATAAAGCAAGTATGCCAGTGATATTTACTGGATCCTGCATGCATTTCAAACGGGCTAGGTTACGTTCATGCTATTTTGCGGAAGATGTCGCGCCATATTAAATTATACAAAATAATTTGACACTTTGATATCGTTTGAAAAGTAAAAATTTAAAGCATAGTTTTGACGATGAAATAGATCAAAATTCGGCATTACTGAATTATTGAAGCTTTCTCTTGTTGAAACGAGAGAGTAAAGTCGGTAGCGTAAGTTATTTTGTGAAAAGGGGGTGAGGGGAGTTGTTCTTCTGGTTAATTAAACATTCCCTTTAATATATCGGCTCAAAGTAAGCTTAAATTAATCTGACTTTCTTGCAGAGGGGTGACACAGTGGAATGCGAAATTGATGAAATAGGATGTATCTCAAACACAGTTCAATAAAGGCATCGACTTTAAAACATCCCGGAATATCTGGTGAAATCCATCAAATCTCCACAAACATTCCTGATACAGGATCATACACTGAAGAAATTAACTTTCAATGACAACGAAATGAAACATCAGTAACTAGAACTCAGACTTTTTGAAATTTAAACAGACATTTTTTTCATAATTTAAAAATATATAAAAAAAGAAATCTCAAAATCAATTGTATTTCAGAGTAATATTATTTTAGGAGACCGAGGGCCAGTATACACATAGACATTCTTTCATTTATGACGGCGTTTGTCTTTATAAAAGACTCTATGTTGTCCCGTGAGAGAATTCAAAAACCACAACACAACAGAAGCAGAGTTCCTTGTCTCGTTACTGGCTTAGGGTAGTAGCTGAGAGCTACCACTAGTATACTACAAGGCTAATAAATTGTGAAAATAGGTATGCTTACTTTTGGCTATTAAACGGTTTTCATCAAACGAAACTACCAAGTTGTGGATTGTTGACTTTTTGTGCGTGTCCTGCTAGAGCAGATCACAAAATTGTTCAGGAGGGGGCGAGGAAAGGAAGAATTGAGACACCAAAAAAATATCAGTTGCTCCAAGACTATAATCGGGACTTTTATCCTGCAAACCCTACACTTTGGCTGTGCTTAAGGTTATTACTTGTGGCAAGCAAAAACTCCCTGCGTCATTTCAAATTCATTTGAAAAGAAGATTATCCGGGAACTCCCGAATAACCTGCCTCATTAATTTTAAATTATTCAAATTTTGATACCACCTCTTCACGAAGTGAGAGTAACTGAACAGTTGACAAGAATGTGGCTTTCGTTTAACCTATCAAGTCGACGTTTCCAGCTTTGAGGGTTTCTGCATACTGCCGTGTTTGACGTCCATTAGTTCGAGGCTTGACGGAAATGGTGCGGAGACGATTACATCGCGAGAAAGTTGCTTTGAAACGATGGCCGACAACACGTGGACGTTGAACGTTGAAGTAAGTCAACAATTTGTTTTATTTAAGGTTTTCTTGAGAAGTTAATCAGTCTCTACTGTGTTTTATGTAGTTGGTCTGATTATTTTCCCTGTTGTTGAACTTTTAAAAATATCTAAACAAAGGAATATTAGGTTTGGGTAATGTAGTTAACGACGATTTCGAAATAATTTGCATAGAATGAATTAATTCTTTTAGAGGCCCGCTCTCTCACGTCCAGTCCTGTGTTGGCATTTATTGTCCTTGTTATGTAAATTTGCAGTGCTAACTGTAGATGTGTGCAAAGTTGTTTGCCATATGACAGCCGAAATTCCAGGAAATTGCTAAAGCTGGTACGAAATTGTATATTGTAGGGCTTACACCTACCCGTATATTTAGAAGTGATTCAGTCGAGGCTGTGATCTGGGGCACGTAAATCAATGAAACAGTCGGCTTTAACATGTGGAAACCACCTTTCAGTAAGAGTTATGTCCGCATTAAAGTAATCGGCATCTAATTTCGTGTAATCAGGTGAGAAGCTAATCTGGTACATTACTGTGTGACTGGGAGAAATTCTGGTGATTGACGTGGACAGACAGTCGTTGGAGAAATGATGTTCCACAAACTACAGGTTAGTGTTTAGTAATTTGTCAGTATTTTCGAGCGAGGTTAGAGGAGTGCAGTTTTTTGGGCTTGCTCATAACTAATATAAAAACAGGTCTGTGTTGTGGGAACATGTCTAGCTTGGATTTAATATTTGAGAACACAGGTTACTTTACGGCACACTTGGTTCCCAGTTGTGTTTATTGGGATTTTTATTTCATTCAGTCTCCTTAATAGCTGTTATTAGGGTTGTCACCCAACACTTCTTTAGACACGGTGGTGGGAGGGAAGGGAGGGGTTGGGGAAAGTCACTTTGCCTTTCTGTTCTGCTACTTCCTGGGAAGGTTTTTGAAAACAATTGCTGCCTTGTCTAATCCGCGCTTTTTCTTTCGTACTAAATCAAACTGATCACTCGATGTCACACTGCTCCTGAAAGGTCGTTCGATTGGCCTGGACAGACAGATACACCATCAGATAATGGTGTCTTGGTGTCGTGTAGTTTATGCCTTGCTTTCCTTGCCAGGAAAGTGTTTTTTTTATATTGACTACCATTTGTCACAATATCTTTATTGGATATCCCGTATTACGTATTGAATAGACCCTGTCCCCTTTCCAGCCGTTTTTTGGATGGAGAATGGAGCCCATGCCTATCGGTTACCTTAAGTTTGATTAAAGGACAGTTTCTATAGAAACTGATTGTTCTTACACTGCAAGTGACTCTTACAAGGGTACTATCAATTTGAAAGTGATGATAGAGATCAATTCGTAGCAAGTTTTGGGGAAAGCTGGCTTTTTGAGGGCTCGTCCGTTATTGAATTCGAGACATGCATTTTCTGTTTTGCTTAAACTTGCCAGCAGGCTGTGAAAGGTTGTCGACGCGTAATTTACGAGAAATGGACGAGGACCCTTACACAGCTTTAAAGCATTGTAAAGAATGAAGGGTTCAGTACCTCTGATGAGGAACTGAGTCCACTTTGTTTACTCCTCTAGCTTTTAGTTTAAGTTATCCAGCATCTATAATTTACGAATTATACTCTCTCTCTCTCTCTCTCTCGCCAGGGAAATATCAAGCATGAGCCAATGGGAAACTGAACACGTGTCTGGTGCAGGAGAGACGGACAACATTCTGGATTCCATTTTCGATGAGGTTCGTTTATATTATCAACTTATTAAGCTGTAGATTTGACTGGTGTTGTTAGGAAACAAATTCAATAATTCATGATTACATGTTGACAAAAGTTTTTACTGATAATTTTTGATAAGTTAAATTTTGAGAATGGGAATCAAGAAACGCTTCTGGTGTTGGGAGGAGGAGAATCTCTGAATAACATATTCAATAAGTTTGTTTCTTATTTTGAACGTATTTAGCTGTAGATTTGTTTCAAGTTGTCCGAAAACAGATTTACTAATCCAGAATTATAAGCGGATAAAACGATTCTCCAATAAGCTGGAATTTGATATTAACCAAAGTTAAAAGATGAGGGCGAAAAAATTTACTCAGTTTTTAACGGAGGCGCTCTAATTTGCGCTACATTTGTCTCTATTGCTAGGAAAATATCAAGCCTGGAATGGAGAAAGCTTCTGGTGTACGAGACAAGAACTTGTGAATGACATCAGCGAGGTAAGATTCCTGCTTTACTGTTATTAGCTGTAGATTTCACGCCAGTTGCTCGAAAACAAATTAAACAAATTAACTTAACTTTTGGCAAAATTATAAGTTAACAAAAAAAACCTCTCTCTGATAAGTTTGAATTTGAGATTAGCCAAAGTAAAAAATAAGGGCAGACAAATTTACGAAAATTTTATTGAAGGCGCACTATGAACCCGACATCCCAGAAATACATCAGTAACCTCTGATGCTGGAAGTTTATTTAGGAAACTGCCCAAGCTTTTCAGTAGTTTATGTTATCCAGCTTATAAAATTTACACGGCATTTATCTTTCTATCACTAGGAGAATATCTGGAATTGAAAAAGCTGGAAAGTTAGAAGCGTTTCTGGTGTAGGAGAGAAGGACAACTTTTTTAATAACACACACAGCCAGGTTAGTTTCTTGAACGTAACGGCATCAAGCTGTAGATTTGTTCCAAGTTCTCCGAAAACAGAAATTCTCAGCATTATAAATGGACAAAACGTTTCTCTAATAAGTAAGAAAATGATAAGGGCAAGCAAATTGAACGAAATTGTCATGAAAGCGTACTATGAATGAGGATTCCAGAAAGACATCGGTAACCTCTGAAGTCCAGGAAGTCTATTTAGTTAACTCCCCTAGCTTCAAGTTTACGTAATTTACAGAGTATGTATTTCTCTCTCGCTAGGAGAATATCAAGCATGGAATGGAAAACTGAGCTGCAAATCAAGAAACCTCTTCTGGCGTGGGAGACAAGAACAACTTCTGAGTGACTTTACCAATGAGGTTTGTTTCTTACTTTTTGCATTAAGCTGTAGATTCGGTGCTAGTTGTTCGAACGCAGATTTACCAATCCAAGTTTCTGTAATCAATAACAGCCGGCCCAATACCACCAGGGGGTTAAAAGCGACGTGAAGATTTACTAATTCAGGATTACAACTTAACAACTATTTTCACTGTTAAGTTTGAATTTGAAATTAACTGATGCCGATAAAAAATCATTCAGTGAAACCTAATTTACCTAAGCTGTAATCTAGGCGTCCTGTGAAAGGGGGATTCCCTGAGACGACCAGGAATTATTTGTCATTCAACAGGGAACAAAACAACAGCTGAAAAAAGAATTTAAAAAACTAGACTTGTTCTTCTTTGTCGATGATTATTTGCTTCAATTTGGCAAAATAATCACACTTTTTCAGCATTCCCATGAAATATTTTGCTGTGGAAGAAATATAATGTACCAAACAAAAGATCAACTTTTAACAAAATACTGTCATAAATAGCGTGCTTGTTTACGCTGACGAAAAGCCCGCGAAATTCAAACCAACTTGAACTTTTACGAATTATCTTTTCCTAAAAGTTTTAGTATAAATCTTAAATTATAGAAAACCATCTAGGAAGGTTTGAGTTTGATATTCAGTTGATATTAAACGATCGAAAACGAGTACAACAATTTTCAAAGCTCTAGCCTCCACATGTTAAACTAAAATGCAAATAAAGTGGGTGATGAGGGTGGGTGTCAAGCCCCGTCGTTTGTGCGCCTTCGTGTTTTGAAAAACAATAGAATTCAAATTTCACGAATCCTGGATTAGCATAATCCTACTTTCAGCAACTGTGCCCTAAAATGTGTTGTTGTTGAAGGTTATAGAGCTAGCAGCGCAATATAAAGCGGAATAATGTTCAATCTAGGGGTGAATGTTGATACACGTTTCTACTTTCCTCACATTGTCTCAAGAACGGAGCGTATGGAAAGCAGAAACGTTACATCAGAAGCGTTGCGTGACTAACCTGGTAAGGCCACATTCACGTGAAGAGAACAAAGACCAACTAACAATAAGTTGGAAACTTAAATCGAGTATACAATTGCGTTTATTTTGTTCGTTGGCTTTTGATATAACCATTTTTAATTTGTCTTGTTATTGATATTTCTTTCAGGCTGCCATCCCCAGTGTACATCACCAGGACATCAACACTAATAAGGAGAAAGAAGCAAATGAAACCAAACTAATTCATTTAGATGTTTCTTCAGTGGATTATGCTTCAAGATTGAGGTAGATTTAGATTTATCACGATTAGTTTTCTTGCTTCGAGATTGTATTTCACAAGACTCAAGAATCCAAAGGAATTATCGGAGCTTTTGCAAATTGTCTAATGACTATTTCACGGGTTTAGTAAAACCATGTTAGTTGTCGAGCAAGCAGTGGATTGAATTGCACGTTTGTCGCTTTAAATGTAAGGTAGCAGATAAGCTTCATCTCGATTATTTTTTTGCGATAAGATATTTCAAGCCTGGAAGTCTTCTTAGCTTTTTCACAAAACTCGTGAAACAAAATTCGACCATCAGAATTTAGTTGTCAAACAACACATGGAATGTACTGTTCAATTGTCTAGAATTTATTTCACAAATTTTAGTAAAATCTGTCCAGTTTACGAGGTAGATAGGATTGATGGAAAGGTTGCGCTTTTAAAAGGGCCAATAAAATTATCGAAAAAATATTTAAGTCTTTTGGCAGTAAAATTGTTCTTGGAAAAAAAGTCTGCAATTTTAAATGGTGTCTGGTTTTGAGTCAAATTTATACTAAGTCTTTTGGTGGATAAAAGTATTGCACTATATAGCAGGATTTTTCCCATCAAAAGTCAAAGTGTATATTTGATTTCTGGCTAGACTCTGTTCAAAAGCGCAGAATTTTTTTTCTTTTTGGCAACCCTACATAGTCAAAAAATAGTAAAAGAGATAGCCTACATTCC